GAGTGGACTGACGCGGGTGGCAAGTTCATTAGCCAACCCCGCGCCTGCCCCTTCAGGGCCATGGGAAAGAAATTCGCCATGACCCTGTCGTCACCCCCAGCGGCCTCAATCCCGGTCGTGTAGACCTGGAGAAACTCGGTGGGGTTGACGCTGCCATCATATTTTTCGGCGATGGTGGGCCGGAACCTTGGGGGCCAACGGACATTCCGAAGACTCGCCACAAAGGCTCTACAGCCGACACCACCAACCGGGGGCACGGAGGGCTGATTCCCACGTCCGTGTTGAGGTGACACTCTGGACGAGGAAGCGCCCTCCGTTGCGTGGGCAGCACTTCGGTCATTACGCCGGCGCTCGATGCTGGTGCGGGCGTCCGGCCCCCCACGCAGATCTTCTCGGGTCGTAGGAGTCGACGAAGGAGTGGCGGCCGAATGGCGAACAGCGGCTGCCGCTCGTCGTGCCCTTCGTCTTGACGACGCGGAGCCGGTGGTAGCAGCACCAGAGGCCTTGGTGGCGGAGGATCGCCCACCAGCATCTAGGCGCTGCCGTGCCGTCATGACTAATTTGGCCACGTCGTCCAGCCATCGTTGGGCTGGAGACTCCGGGTCAGGGACGACAGGCGGGTGACGTAAGAGCGCGCCCGCAGCTTGGAGCGCGCCCTGGGGCGTGCTGCCGTCGCCGTAGACGAGGAGACGACGCTCCCCATCTCGCCGTTCTTCTCCATCGCCCGCGATAGGTGAAGTCGCGGATCTTTCGACCCTCTCGAGCGCCTCCCCCCGCTTAGGACTTTGGCGTGGAGGGGGCGGCGGAGTACGAGCTCGACGGCGTAGGTTCGGCTCCCCGTCGTCGCCACTCACACTCGGAGAGAGGTCGTGCGCCTTTGCTTGCTCGGCCATCAGGCTGAACAGGAAAAGCTTGGCGCACACGGAAGAGCACGAGAGCTCAGAAAACACACACTGAGCCCCCTACCTGGCGCGCCAGATGACGGAGCGTGGGGCTCCTCACCGGGAGACCGCGCAGGCCCCCCTTTGCCGGTTCGGCCGGGGACTCAGGGTGAAAATCTAAGCTCTCTGGGAATGGAAGGTTCGCGAGAGTCGAAAGAGCATAAGACACGGGCGACGTATACAGGTTCGGGCCGCTGAGAAGCGTAATACCCTACTCCTGTGTTTTTGGTGGATCTGTGTATGAAGGAGCTACAAAGTATGAACCAGCCTCTCCCTTGTTCTGGGTTCCGAATCTCCCCCCGTCCCCTCTCTAAGTGGGCAAGGTCCTCCTTTTATATCTCAAGGGGATACCACATGCACCCTCTCTCTCTTTCCAAACTGGACTTGCCTTCTCTTCATAAATGGACGGAGATTTGTATGGTTGCTGTCCGAATGACCTTCTGATGGGACGGCACATACCTACCTCCACTTCCGCCGGAGGCAGGCGCGACGTGGGAACGTGGCTGTCTGCTGACGACATGACCAGTGTCAGACTGGTCACAAATCGGTCATTCTTGTCCACCATGCGTCAGCTTAACAGTATGCATGTTCGCCCTTCTTCACACAACATCTTGCCTGTAATGGTTAGGATGAAGCCTGGCGTATATCTGACCGGGACTAACGTGCCATCTCTGGGAGGTAACACGCTAGCTCTAGCTGGGGACGCGTGCCTAGAAGCTCTCGTCCTGACGGGATGGGGCGAAGCGTGCGTCAGACCGCCTGTCGCCACCTAACCCGTGATCTGACCGGTCTGTGACTGGTCATAGACCGGATATACGAGTGCACTGCACTGCGTTACATGCGGCGTGACACGCTCAGCCAAACCGCAATAAATGCGGTTAGGTGAGCCCCGCTGTGCTCACCTAACCCATACACGCGGAGCAGAACCCACGAGGGGTCGGGGCGCCTCGGCCCTCGGGGCCGAGGCGGGAATGGTCCGACCCCCTCGGGGAGACTAAGAGGAGGGCGAACACATCACCCTCGGGCCCGACGTCCCCCGAGGGTGCCAGGCCACGTGGGCGATTGTGTCTGCCTCAAGCCTCTAGTCATGATACTCCCGGTCCCATGTCGCCGACAACGGCCATTGCGGATTCTGTCGCCCATCGTCGGAACCGAGCCGCTGCCGTTGTGGATTCATCACGTGAAAATGTGCTGCCGACAGCGGCGCTCCCGGTCGACGTGCCACCTCGTCTCGAGCATCCATCGCCGCCTCTTCCTCATTCAGCTGGGTTGGTTGGGGAGGGCCACCGGCTGGATGGGGAAGGGGAAAGATGTGGATGGAGAGAAGGAAGAAAAAGTGTAGAGATTGATATGTGGGTCTCATTGTCAGATGGAAGAACTTAATAAAGATGCAGTTAGAGTGAAAGATAAATTTGACCCTCTAACTTTTCTGACAAACTAGCTAAATGGACATTTGGAGAGTCGGATCTGAAGATACTGCTGAAGATGCTAGTATATCCACATTAACAAAAAGGATGAAATGGTGAGGAGAGAGAACATGAGCGGCGACAAGGTCAGGAAATCGAATGGCACTTAAATGTACAAATCCAAAGGAAACCTATAAGGTCATGAAATCATACATATAGCAAAATGCCCATGCTTTGCTATGGATAGAAGGAAACAATATCATAATATGTCATGGAAAAAAATACTCCCTCCCTCCCAAAATATTATGGCTTTTAGCCCTGAAGATTTGTTAAAAATATAACAACTTCTCCACCAACGTTCTCTTCCCAACCAATCACAACCCTCTATCATTTACTTTTTCTCACCTACCTCCACTACTCATCCAATCACAACCCTCTACCACTCACTTTTACCTACTTTCTAATAAACTTGTCCAACCCTAAAACTTTTTATATTCTGGAACGGAGGGAGTACTTTTTTTTATCAAATATCTTAGTCTCACTTGTTTGCTCATTTGATTATCTGTTATTCACTTGTTTGATCAAATGCTGGACTATTTCATAATATTAAAAAAATATCAGGTGACAATTTGTAAAAACTGTAAAAATAAACTAGAGGTTTTAAAGAAGTATAGATAAGACATCCAAAACTCAGATACGAATAAAACCTAGTATGCCACTCTTGAACTAAAATATGTTGTAGTATATATGACCAGGGGCGGAGACAAGGGTGGGGTAATTATGGCTTGAGCCCTAGACTTAGGACCAAATTCCCATTAAAATCTTATACAAAATACTGTGAAAAACTGAAGATATAAAGAGATTTGCTGGTCCTAGGCGTGATCAATTATTGGCTCCGTCACTGTATATGACGCATGTTTTGATACGATCGATGAAGCAATCAACGTCTTGGACTGGTACACCACTACACCTAATGGTGGACCAGCGCCAGCAAGCTAGCCGCCATCTAACTAAGCTTATGTGTGTGTACATTCAAGTGCCATTCGAAGGCTACACAACAACAGAGTTGACTTCAGTTGATATGCAACTCAAGTTAATTTGCATTGTAAACCACAAGTACTTGTACTATACTTCGTATATTAATTAGTAAACAATTAGAATTACCTCCTAAACTGTTGAGATAGTACGATTTACACCTTCAACTCAAATACTAGATATTTTACACCCTAAACTATTTTATACTGGACAAATAACCTCTCAAGCAATATTCTAGACGGTTTTGATCTGGTTTTGACTAAGGGTGGCATATGTGGTGCCGAAGTAGCATCTCTAATCAACAGAAAGTTTTTTTTTTAAAAAAAGAAAACATAGGGGTTACTCATTTCTATCTCCTTGCACCCCTCTCTCTCTCTCTTTCTCCCCAACATGCGTGGCAAGGAACACCCCAGCATCTAGTGATGGTGGCGGCAGTGAGGAGTGCCCAATAGTGGTAGCAGCGTCGACAGCTACGAGGAGCACCCAGTGACGAAGAACGAGCCCACCAATGGGGCTCGAGGAGGGCACGGCTCTAGCCTTCCAATCTGTCCGCTTCTCCTCACCGCCTCTACCTCCACTGACCGCCATCGCCTCCGCCTCCACAGAACACTTGAGGAAGAGAAGGCGAATTGGAGAGGAGTGCGGTGGTGGTCCCCGATCAGTAGCTCTGAGGCAGGGTCTTGTCGCCGCCTTCACCTCGACCTCCCATATCAGGTCCGGGATGCGCAGGAGCCGCATCTATTTCCAGGATGAAGACAATGGCAAGAAGATGGTGCCTAACTTCTAGCGCCCAATCTGCGGAGATCTCGAGCTCCATCAATACTAGCTTCCTTCTTAAGCGAGCTCCCCCTTCTTCGCCACCCCGAGCCCAAGCCTCTAGCTTGGCTCCGCCCAACCCACCGCCCCTATCCCTCGTTCCGACCGCTACCGTTCCTTGCTCCAGCTGCCTCCCCCATCTGGCCATCCCGATCCCAACTAACAGAAGATATGGTTAGGGAGAGGGAGAGATGAGATATATGAAAAGTGGGCCCCACAATTTTTAAAAATTCTTTTTGCTGATTGGATGCCACGTCGGCGCCATGTGTACCAGCTTGGGCCAAAATCGCATAGAACAGTGCTTGAGTGGTTATTTGTCCGATTTGAATAGTTCACAGTGAAAAATGTCTGCTATTTGTCGGGGGGTAATTTGATCGACCGCAATAGTTCATGGGGTAATTTGGACTTTTTCCTATTAATTATCCCCTTCTTGAATATTCAGGCTTTTCACCGGATTCGGAATTCAAAATAAATTTGAACAAAATTTTGCCCAAAATCATGAGAATCCATGGAATTCAGTTAGGAGAGTACATGGTAGCCAAAAAAAACCAAATCCCACTTTATCTAAAGGTATAAAGCCATAAAAACAGCAAAAATGTGATACTAAGCAGACCATACAAAATACAACTTTACGATATACAAACATAACACATATGTCTCTCTCTATATATGGTCTCATGGTTAGTTTGTTAGGTTGGCCAAATGCTCACCAACAAGCTTCCTCATGTACTCATCCGTCAACTCAAAAGTAATTAAGTTGTCCACCTGACCAATCTGAACTTGCAGCATGCATACTTAAATCAAAGCATTTTTAAAGTTTTTCACCTGCTTTTGAGTTTTAATTAGCTTGCAAATTAAACAAATCAAGTACAAAACCATGCGAATTTTTCCAACCAAATCGAAACCATCTCAATTATAACTAAACCCAACAAGCTGTGCCTAGCTCCAACAGCTCAGCTCAGCTAAGCTAGTTGCTAGCAGTGGCCGGTGCGTGATCGGCCATGGCGGCGGCGGCAGCAACGGCGTTGGCCGCCGTGATACTGCTGCTGGTGCTGGCGACGACGGCGGAGGCGGCGTGCTCGGTGAGCGCGATCTACAGCTTCGGCGACTCCATCGCCGACACCGGCAACCTCCTCCGGGAGGGCCCCGCCGTCGGCGCCTTCGCCTCCATCGGCACCTACCCCTACGGCCAGACCCTCCGCCGCCCCACCGGCCGCTGCTCCGACGGCCTCCTCATCATCGACTACTTCGGTATACGCACCCAGCTCGCCGCCGCCATCGCCGCCGGCGAGGTGTATGTATGTGGCAAATTCTATGGAACTAATCAAGTGTATGTGCTGTTCGTTTCTTGGCAGCCATGGCGCTGAACCTGTCGCTGGTGAGCCCGTACCTGGAGAAGGGGGCGAGGTTCGAGAGCGGGGTGAACTTCGCGGTGGCCGGGGCGACGGCGCTGGACCGGAGCTACCTGCTGCAGAGCGGCGTGGTGATGCCGCCGGCGAGCGTGCCGCTCAGCTCGCAGCTCGACTGGTTCAGGTCACACCTCAACTCAACCTGTTCTTCACACCAAGGTACGAGTTACGACAGGGTTTAATCATTCAGTTTGGACGATATACCAAAATTTTAAACGAATTTTAATCAAATTTGAAAAAAATTTGCCAAATTCACAAAAATAAATGAAAAAACAATCTTTTTAGCCGAAATAATATCATATCGGGGGTAGGGTGTGTGTGGGGTTCCAATATGACCGAAATTTCCATAACTTTGAACCCTGTGCGGTGATCGAATTGATTTTTTACTGCCACACGCTATTAATTTGGATTAATCACCAACTTGAAACAACTACTCTTAATTTTAACCTCGTCATAATAATTACTCCCTCCGTTTCAGGTTATGACTTTGGTCAAAATCAAACTGTTTCAAGTTTGACATAAATATAGTAATATTTATAATACTAAATTAGTTTCATCAAATTAATAAGAGAATATATTTTCATAATAAGTTTGTCTTGGGTTAAAAGTGTTACTGTTTTTTTTCTATAAACTTAGTTAAACTTAAAGCAGTTTAACTTTAACCAAAGTTAAAACGTCTTATAACCTGAAACGGAGGGAGTAACTAAGACATTAGTTTTTGAAATTTATATAGTCTAACATAAAACTTTTTAAATTCACCATTAAAAACAATTTCACCATATATAATTTGCATGTTGTTAAACTATAACAATTTCTAAAAAATTATGGTAAAATTTAGAAATGTTTGACTCTGGACAAAGATAAAACAACTTCATATGTATGTTTGATCGATCTGTTTTCAAGCTCAATTACGCTGCAATTAATTTACTGTTTGGTAAAACATGATTTATCTTTATCATGACAACATTAATTTGTAAGTATATAATTAAGTTTTGCATTTGAGCATCGATCAGACTGCGCGAAAAAGCTGTCCGGAGCTCTGTTCTTGGTTGGGGAGATAGGAGGGAACGACTACAACTACGCCTTCTTCCAGGGGAGATCCATCGAATCCATGAAGACCTACGTGCCACAAGTTGTGAGAAGCATAATGGACGTTGCAAAGGCAAGTATAGTGATCATCATTGGGTTTTCATAATTCAGTGAGTCATTTCATATTTGAGAGAAAAAAAGAGGGTGGTGTTTGGTTAACCATCTGACTAGTTTGTTGAGCTAATTGTTTGACGCATCCATCTCATGTAATCTGACTCTTGTCCATACAGTAATAATTTTGAATGAAATGGCTAATTAATTAATCAATTAATTGTTTGTTCGTTTGTTAATTAGGAGGTGATCGAGCTAGGAGCGACCAAGATCGTCATCCCGGGCAACTTCCCGATCGGGTGCTCGCCGAGTTACCTCTCCCTCTTCTCCACGGCGATCTCCGGCGACTACGACGACCGGGGCTGCCTCAAGAGTTACAACTCCTTCGCCATGTACCACAATGATCAGCTCCGGGCCGCCATAGATGACCTCCGGAAGGTCAACTCGGATGTCGCCATCGTCTACGCAGACTACTATGGCGCCTTCATGCATCTCCTCCAAAAGGCTGACCTCTTAGGTACGTGTATACCTATTACCCATCAGAAAAGGAAAATACAATAGCCAAACACACAATGTGCACCGATCAACAAGGATGATGATGTATCACGATCTTACAATGGCTGATATATGTTAGGGTTCGAGGAGGACTCATTGTTCAAGGCATGTTGCGGCGCAGGCGGAAAGTACAACTTTGACATGAACCTAATGTGTGGCGCAGTGGGAACGAACGTTTGTGCAGACCCAGCGCAGCACATTAGCTGGGATGGCATCCACCTCACTCAACAGGCGTACAAGGCTATGGCTTTGTCCCTTATTATGGAAGGGTTTGCTCAACCAGCTGACATTGTGCAAAAAATCTGGAGTTGCTAGGAGCTTGAGCATGTATATTGTTGAATGTTATAAGCATTGAATTCGTATGAGCCAACAGTTATACAACGGTAACTATACAAGTATATAGAAAACACATTCTAGAAAAGAGTAAATACACAACTAGCTATGCACTACATCTAACAACCCCCCCCCCCCCCCAAACACACACACACAAAACTCCTGGTGGATCAACCACAATGAGTTTGGAGAGAATAGCTATGTTGAGCTCTTCTCTAGGCCTTCGTGAAGAAATCTACAAGCTTAAGGAACATACTGAAGAGCTACAACATCATCATGCACCTACAATCGCATGCGTGAAACATCAAACCCTTTTGTGCTTGGTGAGCTCATGCTTCACTTGGTCCTGAGCAATGCTGATCACACTGGTGTTGTCCCGAAAAAAGGAGAGTCGGTGAAGAGATAGGAACTCCAAAATCCTTCCGGAGCCAACACGTAGCCAAGTGATCTCAGCTATCAAGGCTACCATAGCTCGCAACTCAGCCTCCGCACTCGAACGGGACACTGCAGTCTGCTCCTTGGTCTTCTAGACAATCAAAGAGGAAGCGAGGAAGACACAAATAAGCGAAGAGAGAACGACAATCAATGTGATCACTAGCCCAAGTCGCACCAGAGTATGCCTGAAGCTACAAGGAGCTAGAGCGAGGGAAGAAAAGGTGACAAGAGGCAGTGCCACAAAGATATTGTAAGATGCGAACAAGGTGAGAATGGTGGAGTTGAGTAGGAGGCTAAGAAACATAAACAAATGTGAACTGAGTGAGAAATGTCAAGGCGAGTGATGCCAAGAGACTGAATCTAATTCATATCCTTGAACCGTAATACCGGATATATCGACCTCCCAACTATTAAAACCGAAGCAATTTGACTCTCTCGGTGGTTTTGGAGGACGGTATCGTGACGTGGTGCCTACGTGACGGTGTTAACCTAGTCTTCGTCCAACGTGGCGCTTATGTGTCATTAGAATTTAAATATATATATATATGGGAGTATGGGACCTATTTGTAATTCACACAAAAAGTTGTGGACCCACTAACATGTGAGGCCCACATGTCATCCTCTCTCCTTCCCTTCTTCCTCCTCCCTCGATCTCTCTCCCTTCTTCGGCCGTGTGCGGGGAGCGACAGCAGCGGTGGCGGCAGGCGAGGGCCGGAACGGTTGCGACGGCTGTGACGGGGACCAATAGAGCGGCAGCGGTGGCTTGTCGCGGTGGACCAAGATGGTGATGGCACCGTCGACGACATTGCGCAGCCATGCACGAGGAGCTCAGGAGACCAAGGCGACCCGGTGGCATAGCACCGAGCTCCACCAGCCCATATCTAGAGCTGTGAATGTATCGAAGTGGCGTCGGGGTTGGGCTCCGGTTGCGGAGCCGCGGAGATGGTGGAGCTAGGAGGAGAGGCGTAGGATCTTCGCCTCGACGTGGCTGATCTTGGCCTCGACGTCGCAGCCGACAGCGACATCAACCTCGGGGCGGTGATTCACTTTGTCGTCCTTGTGGACGGTTGCGACGACGGGGTTTCGGGGTAGACAAGCCGATATGTAAGACAAGGAGTCGCCGGAGACCACTCCTTGCTTCACGCCCCCTCGAGGCCAAGACGTGTCGTCGCTCTGCCTTGAGGAGAATGAGTCGTAGCTCCGCCTCGAGGCCGCTTTGTCACCGCTCCATCTCGAGGCCAAGAAGGGAAGGAGAGAGGATGACATGTGGGTCTCACATGTTAGTGGGCCCATAATTTTTTGTGTGAATGACAAATGGGTCCCATACTCCCACACACACACACACACACACACACACACACACACACACATATATATATATATATATATAAATTCGAATGACATTTAAGCACCATGTCAACTTCACGTTGGACAAAAACCAGGTCAATACCGCAACGTAGGCGTCATGTCAGTGAAACGACCCTTCAAAACCACCGAGTGAGTCAAATTGCACCAGTTTTAATAGTTGGGGGTTTACATATCCGGTATTATGGTTTATGGATATGAATCAGCTTCGACCACTAGTTAAGGGACTTAAAGTGGACTTATCCTTGCACATTTGCACTCGCTCATGGGCTTGGGCTTAACCTTACTTTTTAAGATGACACGCTTCAAAGCCCATCATTATTCCTTCCATTTTCCATCACCGACCTCTTCATCCCTCTAAGCAAAATAACTAATTATAATTAAGATGCGGTATTAATACCAACTTAGCTTAGCCCTCTGCCCCTCGACTACTAATCACTAAATCGCTAATCAAAACACACACCCTCTCCCCTCTCTCTCTCCCCACATCGATCTCGATCAGCCACGCGAATCGCACCCCGCGCGCCACCCTGCGCCGCGACACGCCGCCGGCCGGCGAGGCTAGCGCCGCGCGCACGGGGGGCCGGGCATGATGGACTGGCGGCGGGCCGGGAGCCCGACGTACGGCAGGCGGCGCTCGCCGGCGGCGGGGATCTACTCGGCGCCGGCGTCGCCGGCCCACCCGGCGGCGGCGGGGGCGGCGTCGCCCGTCCACCCGCTCGCCGCGCGGAACAAGGCGCGCGCCGCCGCCGCGCTGGCGCAGGCCATGGCGCGCCCGCCGCCGCCGGCCTCCTCGCGCGGCGCGAGCGAGGACGGCTACGACGACGACGACGACGTCGTCGGCGGCGGCGGAGGCGGGAGGTACGATGGTGGCCGGAGCCCGCTCAACGGCGGCGTGTACGGCGGCCGGAGCCCCATGAACGGCGGCGGCGGCGGCGGCGGCGGCGTGAAGGACAAGTACTTCGGCTTCGCTTTGCCTAAGGTATTTTTCACAGCTACTCCTCCTCCTTGCTAATTAATGCTAGCTTGAAATTTTCTCCTCCCTTAATTTGGTACTACTAGTAAAATTCCAAATTAGACTCAGGATTTAACTTAGCTAGTAATTAAAATTCCTCTTAAACTCAGGGTTAAACTGCATGCGTTGAGAATTCATCCTTTTTCTGCTTGACGTTTCATGCTCTTGAATTAAACCACTAGACAGTTTCCTCACAACCCATTTACCTGCGAAATTTGTTTGCTAGTAGTAGCTAGTAATAATTTACCTGCAAAAACAGCTTTGAGTAAAGTGTAGATACAAAAATCATATATAGCTGTATGTATCCTAACACAAATAATGCTCACTAACATTGATATATATAGATGTATTACGTGTTTTGAAACTCACGATTCCTTTCCTAACCTCAGTAAAAAAAATTGAACCCATGATTAATTCCTTCTCCTAATCTCAGTAAAACTGTAAAAAGAAATTCAATTCAATCAAGTTCAGCAACAAGATGGTTTAAAAAATTAACTAGGGTGGTCAAGGCGAAGGCCAAGGCACGGTACGTGGAACCGGGAGTACGACCTCGCTTAGCTTGGGGAAGAAAAAGTTAAATTAGGGTGTGAATCCCGAGGCAGTCTGTTTTGTGGGGCCCACATGCATGGGTGCGTGCATGGTCAACGCGGCCATAAATGCGTTTTCCCCTTCTCGATGCGTCGGTCGATCGATCGAGCCGGACGCGGGAAGCGCACGTGCGGCGGGCCATCGCGGCGATCCTGGCCGTCCGATCGGGATCCGGCGGCCGATCCAGCTGCCCTAGTGGATACGAGAAGCTAGTGTTGGTTAAACTTGGTTTTGGTTAGGCCGATTTGAGAAGCAGCGTAGTAGTGCATATATAAATGCCATGGCGGATGATCTAGTAAAGTATTACTCCCTCCGTTTTTTTAATAGATGACGCCGTTGACTTTTTCTCACATGTTTGACCATTCGTCTTATTTAAAAATTCTATGCAAATGTATAAGATATAAATCACACTTAAAGTACTATGAGTGATAAAACAACTCATAATAAAATAAATTATAATTACGTAAATTTTTTAAATAAGACGAATGGTCAAACACGTGAGAAAAAGTCAACGGTATCATCTATTAAAAAACGGAGGTAGTACTTGTGTAGCTTTGGAAAATATTATATCAAATGCTTGCTATGAAAATTGTATTTACAATTAATAAAAACATTTGAATTTTATTGTTGTGCATCCGATCCGCAGCCGCATAATTGCATTTGTAGATTAGCATATGGGCTGTGTTCTTTTGGAAGGGTTGGGAATCCCTCCTCTACGCACGCAAAACAGAGCGATAAATTAACGTATGATTAATTAAGTATTAGCTATAAAAAAACTTAAAAAATAGATTAATATAATTTTTTAAATCAACTTTCATATAGAAACTTTTTAGAAAATATGTATCGTTTAATAGTTTGAGAAGCGCGCACAGAAACGAGAAAAATGAGTTGGGAACTCATGGAAAATAACTCAGCCTAGTATTTGGCTTGTGAGCTCAATCAACCATACAAAAAAAAAGAGAGACACAAATATAACAATGCCAACAAAATTAGTCATCTATCTTGTTTGTTGCGGAGTAAACGTTACAGCCAAAATGTTTGGTACTCCAACAAGCCAAACACAGAAAATAAACCTAAAAAAAACCATGTCGAATTGGCAAATAAGGTTTGGCATTTTGCGAAAGGACCAAACGCACAGAACCTTACATGCATTCGTATGCAGTGAGACCACCATACGTAATATACGATTTACCTAATTCAGAAGTAGTCATGCACTTTGCGTTGTTGCGTCTCTTAATTAATTTTGCCGCGTCTTTAAATTTGCGTCGTTTCCAAGTAGCAAGCTAGGCGGGGAAAAGAATGTTCCAGTCGATTTGTTGTGCACGTACGTGCTACAGTAAGAACGGGGAAGCTACAAATTTACTTGAATTTCGTTGACAAGCAAAGCTAAATACTCCTCATCCAATAATATAGTAGCAAATTACGATCGAATGGAATATTTTATAGTATAATAAATCTGAACTTGATATTATCCACATTAATTGTATATCTACTACAGTGTTGTTCGGCTTCGTCTAATTTGTGTGCATGGCTGCAGTTTACAGCCGTGGATACTAAGCAACAGCCGCGGCCGAACAAGCACTACATTTATTTTTAAAAGAAAAAGGCTGTATATATCTTTCTCTCTTACAAAAACTGCATATATCTGTCTCTCTCTCACTCTCTCTAATGGAAAATATCAAAATATTGCATCTCTTTGGAAAGCCTTTCTGGCCCAACTTCTAAGCTGGGCCCTTGTGGCCGTGTTGCTCTTCCCCCCTTACAGGCTACAGCCCAATAATTGTCCATAGCACATAACTATAGAGCCCAAAGAACAACAAAATCTGAACATTAAGCAGGAAGGTTAGTACAGGACTACAGGCTTGACTCTTGTTCCATTTTTTTAAAAGAAATTTTCTCTGATTTATATTAATGACAATGTACGCTTAAAGCAAAAGAGGATGGTGAAACCGATGAAGAAAAGAAAACATTTCATTTTAGCTTGGTCATCAAGTTGTATCAAGAAAGCTATGATGGTTCAGTACCAAGGATCAAAATCTATTACTATGACACATATTCCTGATTTCAAAAACCATATATATCATTTTAGTTTGGCCATCAATTTGTATCGACATAGTTATCTTGATTATTGCCCTTCATGAAATTCGCTACATCCAGATTTCAAACAATAATAACACTTTCCCCTTCTCCCTGCCAGGAAAGGTTGCCAGTAGGACTTCATATTGTCATTAGTTAGTTGAAAAAAATATCATTAATTGTTCCGTAACTTTATCTTTTTCCTACAATTTGTAGTTACAAAGTCCTCACAAGAAAAAAAAGAAGCTCCAAGTGAATTTTCTTTGAAAGCTTCATCTGAGAAATAAGAAAATAGAGAAAAATTCAGAATTAGAGGTCTGTTCACTTTGATGACATTTTCAACCTTACCAAATTTTAGTAAAGTTGCCAAAAAAATGGCTACATTTAGTTTGTTGCCAAATTTTGATAACTATATAAGAAATCCTGCTAAAATTTTGGCAAGTTACCAAAATTTTGGCAACTATGCTAAAATAATGCTAAAATTTGGTAAGGTTTTTTTTTTACTTCTTTTTTCCCTCTAAAAAAATATTCAAAAAAATTGCTCTGCGAAGGGAAATCATTTGCGTGTCATCGAAGCCAAGTCTACCCCTTGACGTGTCAAACTTGATACTAAAAGGGTGGGGCCTACAGAAAATAGAAATGTGGGCCCCGCTTGTATTGCATAACCGAACTCCGAGTCAGCCCTGCTGGCCCAATGACATGTGGGCCAGCCCGTCCATGACCGTCGTCAGTAGCACGAGCGTTTCCACGTTACGTTTAGACCCTGTTTCGCACTAAACCGCCTAACCTTTTTCCTATTTTGCTCTTTTGGGTACGACTAGTACTGACTAGTATAATGCATCACATGTAGGCCCCTAAAAACTTTATGAATTTCATGAAAAACAAAAGGTTGGGGAGGGTTGTGTAAATTGACTGGTTTCTCATAAACAAAAGTTTTGAACTTGTACAAGTTGATGATGTGGCCCAATACGAGGGCAATATCTTCATTTCGTACCTCCTGAGGGTCTAATTTTCATGTTTTGCAAATTGAAACGGTCATCCTGAATTCCTGATCATCACCCCCAACAAAGATACCCAATTTTCAACAACTAAAAAAAACTATACATAGTGGCAACCAAAAACGATCCGAGCCTTTTGCTTCTCTGTTGACGCCGTATTTAGTTCCAAATTTTTTTTTCAAACTTTCAATTTTTTCATCACATCAAAACTTTTCTACATACATAAACTTCCAACTTTTCCATCACATTATTCCAATTTCAACCAAACTTTTAATTTTGATGTGAACTAAACACAACCTGAGTTTGATTATGCTCCCATACCAATGCTCCAAATTAAAACCATATGGCTCGGTATTTGAAATCAAATTAGTATTAGAGTAAAATACTATTAGAATTTAGGTAAAATAGTGATCTAAAACGTATGTCGGTTAGACTGTCTCTTAGGGCACCCACAATGGTTATTTATAAGCTCTCTACAAGATATCCATGTCAGCATATTTTCCTACTTGGAAGAGATTAAATGAAGAGAGAGAGAGCAAAGCTATCTACTAACCTGGAGATAGTCTATAGAGAAAAACGAGGCAATGGATTAGAGAGCTATAGATACCCATGTAGACATACCATTGAAGTGGTTTACTATTAATCTAGTCTACTGCTGAGATGTACATGTTTTATAAATAGCATCTTACTTTACCATTGCGAGTGCTCTTAGACTGTGTTTTTCCCTCAAGGTTACAACCTCATATCTTTTGTTTTCTGCGCGCAAGCTTTCTAAACGGCTAAATTATGTGTTTTTTGAAAATGTTTCTACATAAAAGTTGTTGTAAAAACCATATTAATTAATTTTTAAAATTTTTAAGCTAATACTTAATTAATCATGCGTTAATTCATTGTTCTGTTTTGCGGAGGTGTTCCGACCCTTTCACAAGAAATCAACCTAAACTCAGCACGAAAGCTCGGATTTGGTGTTTGTGATTGAGTTCGTTTATTTCGAGAAATGTCAATCCACATTCTAGAAGTACTCACGTAAAGGTTGGTGTCTATGAGTGTATATATTTATAGTGTTGTAGAAAGATAATTTTAAGCAAAGGCTGAGTTTACTTCTAAATTTTTTCTTCAAACTTTCAGTTTTTCCATCACATCAAAACTTTTCTACACATATAAATTTTCAACTTTTCTGTTATATCGTTTTAATTTCAATTAAACTTTCAATTTTAGTGTGAACTAAACATACCCAAAATGTAATATCCACAAAAGAAGAGAGAGAAAAAAAAATCCAACTTAGAGACCCGCAGCCTTCCTCTCTTCCATCCTTTTCTTCCCGCAGCCTTCCTCGAAACGCCCAAATTCCCACCCTCCCCCAACGAGACAAAGTCAAACCCAAGGTCAAAGCGGCGCACGCGGCCGTGTCCTCCACCCTCGCCGTCGCCGACGCCAATGGACGCCGCGGCCGCGGCCGCCCCGCGCGGCGGCAGCACCGGGCGACGCCCGACCTCCTCCTCCTCGGCCTCCAGCGCGGCCGCCGCGGCGCGCGCGGCGGCGGCCCGCGAGGCGATGGCGCGCATGGAGGAGGTGATGCTCGCCCACGCCGGCGCCGCCGGCGAGTTCAGCATCATCCTCGACGCACCCCTCCCTTCCCTCCACCACTACCGCCGCAACCCCACACCTGACGCCGCCGCGCGGCGCGGGGGCGGCGGGAGGGACGAGGTCCCCGCGCGTCTGCGGCGCGAGGGGAGCGGCCACGACGCCGCCGCCGTCGACGACCTGAACGCCGCGGCGCGCTCCCGCCGTGGGGCGGACAGGTACCGGGACGGAGCCGGAGCGGGGAGGCCGCGCGCTGACAGGTACTACCGGGGTGGGGAGGAGGAAGAGCGGGTGGAGGCGCCGGTGCGGTTGGTTGCCCCGCGTGGCGGCGCGCGGAGGGAGGGTGCCCGTGGCGGTGGCGGTGGCGACGCTCCTCCACCGCCCGTGAGGCCCGCCTCCGCCGAGGGGAAACCGGCGGCGGCGGTAGTAGAGGAGGATACAGCGCTGCAGCTGCTGGCGCGTGGCCGTGGCGGGCGGAGCTCGAGCGCGACGAGGCGCGTGGAGGAGGAGAGGCCGTCGAGCCGGCGATCGGGGCGGGAACGCGCCGGGGACACCGGTGCGATTAAGGCCGTCGAGCCCGAGAAGCCGGCGGCGGAGGTCGAGGCGGAGGTCGTGGGGCGGTGGAGCAGGCGAGAGCGCGATGACGGCGGCGAGGAGGCGGCGGTCTCGCGGAAGCCGTTGGCAGCAGCGCCGGTGGTCGTGGATGAGGAGGTGACGCCCCTGCAGCTGCTGGCGCGTGGCGCGCGGAGCTCGAGCGCGGCGAGGCGCGTCGTGCAGGAGGAGCCGCAGGTGGTGGAGGCTGTGGCGGCGAGGCCGTCGAGCCGGCGGTCGAGACGGGAAGGCAATGGGGACGCCGGTGTGAAGGCCGTTGTGCCGGACGCGGCGGCGGAGGTGGAGCCGGAGATCGCTGGGCGGTGGAGCAGCCGGCGAAGCGAGGATGGCAGTGAGGAGGCGGCGGCGGTTTTGCCTAAGCCGTTGGCCGCGATCGTCACCGGAGCTCGGAGCAGGAGCAACTCACCGGCGATAAGTAATGTCAACGACGATAGCTTTCTTTTGTTGGTTCAAGCAATTGGTTTGAAATAATTAGAATACATTTTCTAGAAATTTGTTCATCTATTGCGGTAGATGTAGTCTCTGTTTGATGCTCTGTTGGGTTTGAAGTGAGAAGATTACAGAATACACCTTTAGTTTTGAAATGAAACTGATAGTAAGTAGTACATTGGTATGAGATCATGTAGTTGTTGAATCGTCTCGACTTGCTTTCGTTTCCAGGCTGTCTGGTTATTGATTGGACAAACTGCATAGGAAATTAATTGGCGGGGGAATAAGGGATTATCTTGCAGTTACATCGTTGTTGATGCATTGTTTTGCTTACTTACAACATGAGTTTAGTAAGTTATTTTCATGTTGGTGCTACATTCGGCGCTTCTTGCTGATGCAATTTAAACTTGTAGTGCTTCTGCCTCATACAAAACAATCAAAAAAGAAAAAATGAAATGTAGATTTGGTCTGACTTTCAGTTGTCTGACAGATATATTGCTGCATCTGCAAGATAAGATGATTGTTGCTCATTTATATGATGTTCCTTTCTTGAAAGACTTTTTTTTTTCAATTTGACATTTCAATCTTACCATACTGTTTCTAAATATAATATATTTTCAGTTTTCGTTTCTTGAAGGTGGGACTTATTTTACTTGTCCTTGTTTACCTAGTTAGGTCGGAATGGTGTGGACACTGGTGCAGCAAATCGCCCTCCATCAACTGGAAGGTCAACTTTTGCACCACCTGTTGGGGTTAATATCAGACCTCTACAAGCGGTGGAAATGCCAAATGGGACCCCTCGGGAAAGAAGGTGAATTAATATATTCTTATGAGATGATTTGGTTCTCTTAGCCAAGAGTGTTGTACTGCCAAAACCACTTCTTGTTTCTCAAAACATCGGTGTCATTATCAATCTATTAACCTTTTTTGCCTAATGCATTTTGTTTAATATTGTGCAAGTTGGTATTCTTTAGTCTGTTACCCACTTAATAGTAGGCACTCTTGGTTTTAGTTACATTTTTTTTAAGTTAGTTTTAGTTCCATGTTGAAATTTACAAGCATGCACTTCATATGACCTTTGGACATTTCAAATGATTTATGAAAATTGAGTGCGAGGTATGACATACAAGCGTGTACAACCGTAGTGGCACTGTGGAAGTCAATTATAGATTGATGTAGTAGTAAGAAATTAATAATAGTTTAATGTTGGAAAGAACTTCCCTTTGGCTTTCCATAACATCTCCAATGTTGAAGGAGACTCTAGAATATCAACAAATTGAAAACTTTACTCTATAGTGTGAACTGGGTAGCATTCCTGTCAGTAGAAGCATGATTTTGACTTTGGATGCATTCAGGAAAGGTCCTACAATTCTGGTTTTCAAAATGCAGTGGCCTGTGGTATTAAGTTGTCACACAATAAAACAATATGAACTACAGTTGATACTCTACTGGGGTTTACTATCTTTTTTTATTTTTTTATGTAGTTAATTCTTGATTTTCGTACATTTGTACAAAGTAAAAATGTTGGAATCTATGAAAATGTTTCCTGATTGCTGGATGGATCTAGTTTCCAGTACATGCATACTGTGAGCACTGACCTTACATTGCTCGAGTCATCAGCAGTTCAGCATAGTGTCTCTCGAGTCTTGACAATAGGCCTCACCCACATCACTCTATTTCTTGACTCCCTATTATTAAATATTTTTAATATTTGTTATTTACATGTTTTGAGATATTACTAATCGTTTGATGTGTTTATGTAAGAACAACAATCACTACAGTTGATATCCATCATATCATTTCTTTGATTTCTCTTTATACAAGAAACTAAAGTCACTTCCATGTACCATTTCCCCTCAAGACTGACAAAATTTAGTCCTGTAATTTATGTAAAGTTTTACATATTAGTAACTACATGATTCTTGTGATTAAAGTTCCTATATTTTATTAATTTTGTTTGTTTAGGGCAATCTATCCAGATCCCACTTTTGCTCAGTCGACACGGTCACGAGACTCACATGACAGTTCAACAATAACAGAAGAGGTCTGTCCTCAATTTTACCGATTCTCCCGGTATATTATGAGGTTTCACAGGATTTTTCCTTTAGTATTTGTGAAATCCTATAAAGTATTCCTTGATAATATTCTGATTACAGCTGCATTTACTTTTCAGCTTGAGATGCTAAAAGATGAAAATGTAAACCTTTTGGAGAAGGTATGTTACAATTTCTTTCAAACAGTTAAAGGGTAGTATCTTCTTTTCTTATGGAATTAGTGATGATGCATGTTTTTTCAAATTCAGCTTGGACTAGCTGAAGAGAGATTTAGACAATCTGAAGCCCGGACAAGGGAGCTCGAGAAACAGGTATCTTTCTGTTTTTTTGTAATTCTTTCATAGATTTTGACACTGCCATTTGATATTTTCTACTTATGTACATATTACATAATGTTAATGATAAAAAGAATAGTGTTTCTTTCTCTCAAAAACAACAGTAGTGTTTCTCAGCTTTCAGTAATGAATGCCTGCATCAAAGGTCATCCAGTTTGGGTTTTGTTTATCTGTTTGAGCTTACTCTGAACTTGACACTTACTTTGAAAAGGGTTCTTTTGTTTGTATAATTGGTTATTCATTGTCATATGACTTTAAGGTTGAATAGGAAGTAATATGACCAATGCTATAGGATAATATCTTTGAATGAAGAAATCTAGTTCTCTTTTTTTACAAAAGAAATCTATCTGTGGTTGCTTTTATTTATCATCTTGGGAGTTGAGACGCTAATTCTTATGAATTTGAGCTAAAAATGTTGTCATGAAAAGAACACATCATATCCACCTAAGATCTTCTCTGTCTTTATTACTTTCAGGTTGCTAATCTCGGTGATGGGTTATCTATGGAAGTTAAGCTTATGAAAAGGTAATATTAAGCACATTTTGGGTCCTCCTGAATGTTGTTTTACTATCACATCATTAATGATTTTCTGACATCAATGCAGGAGGGAGGAGATGCTCGTAAGAAAGGAGGTATAGTTTTAATTTTGTGTGGGCATATGCTATATTGCATCAATATAATTTTATTTTAAAAGAAACATGAAAGTGGTTAAATAATATTGGCATCCATAGTGCAACTTGAGCAAATGATGTGTTATATTGTATTCTATAAATATTTTTGTATTTTCCCCTGCTGAGTGTAATGGATGAGCGTGATACTGATAAATATGTTGGTAAAAAAAACAGCAAGAAATAAGAAAAGCACTTATATCGAAGAATGATAAAAGCGAGGAAATTGCCACTCTTCAAAAACAGCTGCAGGTAACAGACCAGCTTATGATAATGTTTACTACCACAACCAGCGCTGTGCATAATTTTTATTCTCTGCTCTAGTCTGCAAGAGAAAAGGAGGCTGCTGCTGTTCAGAAACTCCAAGAAGCAGAGTCTGAAACAAAATATTTACGCACGATGACACACAGGATGATCTTGAGCAAGGAAGAAATGGTAACATCCTTTTTTCCTTTTCTTCCAAAGATGGCAATCAAACAGAGAGGTCCATTTATCTGTGAATGCTCATTTTAAGCTATTTGTACAGGAAGAAGTTGTTATGAAGAGGTGTTGGCTTGCTCGTTATTGGGGCTTGGCTGTTCAATATGGTATTTTATTTCATGCGCATTGCATAACATTCCTTTGTGATGTTCGCATTGAAAGAAGGAAAGCTTTTGTTTATGTGTAAATTCTTAAAACTGAATCCTTTGTGGGGGAACTCGTAAAATCAAACTTCTAGTATTACAAGTCCATTGTTCTGACTCCCTTATGCTCTGTTTCCTGCTCTAAATCTGATTCTTTCAATTCTCCAGGCATCTATCCTGATATTTCCATGTCAAAACATGAATACTGGTCTTCATTTGCTCCTCTTCCCTTTGAGTATGTAACAGCTGCTGGACAGAGAGCTAAGGATGGATCTCTTCGTAGTGGTCTGCCATCAACCTTTTTACTGTTAAAAAATAATGGATTTAAATATTTCATTGATTGATTCCTATTATATGCTGAAACAGGTGATGATTTGGAAGACACAGAAAGGTTTGTTCATGAGTTGACAGTAACAGCTGGAGAAGGCAACATAGAAACCATGCTTTCTGTTGATAAAGGGCTTCAAGAACTAGCTTTCTTGAAGGTTTTAATACTTTCCTTTGGCTTTTATTCACATTTATATATAATAAACATTCCAAAGTTATCAGTTCAGCAACCATTTCCTGAGTCAAAATTTGCACTTTTAGTGTTGGTCTAACACAACAATTTCCTGATTCTTTTGAAGGTTGAGGATGCTGTTCTTATTGCTCTTGCCCATCATCATCGTCCTAATGTTGCTGAACTAGTAGACCCAGGTATCTTGCCATATTTTTTTCCCTGGTTGTTTTGATAAGTAACTAAAATTACCAAGATTAGGATTACCTTTTTTGGTAATTATATTGTTGATACATCCTTAAATTATTGTGCATTGATTGATCGTAATTTACTTCCCTGCACATCACAGAGGCTTACCAGTTTTTATGTCACTGTGTTTATCATTTACAGATATTAAATCATCTGGTGATGAAAAATTCACTGAAGCATTTGGTACAGCCTCAATTCCTTTATTATCCGCATCATAAACATGATTAACTATATGAGAAAGCTATTCTTTTGGCACTAAATAGCACTGGCACAGTATGCAGTAGCACTATGACATTCTATCGTGTTCTGTGGGGAACCCTGCATATTCTGAACAATACTTCAATCTTGTTCTGCAGATCTCAGCAAGGAGGAAGAGGAAGATGTATTGTTCAAGCAGGTACCTCTAGTTCTCGACCTATATGTAATTTTTGTTTTGTTCTTGACTTAGGCCCTGTTTGTTTCAGCTTATGATTATTATAATCTAGATTATTAAACCAGATTACTGTAAGCTGGATTATAATAAGCTGACATAGAATAAGCTGTGAGTTGTTTGTTTGTCTGGATTATTGGAGGCATGGATTATTGGGTTTGAAAGGCTAAAATCTATAATGCCCTCAGCTATCTGTTCGGTTGATGGCATAGGTGGGTAATTTTTCTCAAGTATGTAGGGGTAGTGGGTCTTTAGCCACTCAATAATCTGAAAAAAAGCTCCTCTAGAGCAACTTATTAGATTATAATAATCTGGCTTATAGATTATAATAATCTGCTATAATAATCTACTTGTTTGTTTCAGCTTACTCTTAATAAGCTAGATTATAATAATCCTAAGCTGAATCAAACAGGGCCTTAAAAACGTGCATAGTAATGTTGTTGATGTTGTGCTGACAGAGTTAATATTACTCTATTAGTATTACCCCTTGAACATTTGGTTCCCATTACTTTCGATGCTTCCATTGATATATGCTCCTATATTGTTTTGCTTGTCTAGCAAGACTCTTTCAGATCATAGTTCTTAATAATCTACATAAAGGTATATGACAATTGGAAAGGGAAACACAAAACCGTTGCAGTCATTTGATTCTGTATAAATCTCAATTGAATTATATCTGTAGGAAGGAATTACCAACTACAACATTGTGCAAAACGTGAGTTACTGCACTTGTATAGGGATAACTGACATGTGGAGTTTGTACAAATTAATTATTGAACACAACTTACTGTTCCTTATGCAGTACTTCAGTTGTTATTTGCCAATGCAAGTGACCATTTATTTTGGTGTGCGCAGGCATGGCTCGTATATTTCTGGAGAAGGGCTAAAACCCATAACGTGGAAGATGATATTGCTGAGGAGCGGTTGCAGATGTGGATTGATCGACATGGGCAGCAGCCCACCTCACATGATGCTGTAGATGGTGTGTGCTTGGCGACTTATACACAGCTTACTCATAGGATATTTCTGCTTTATTTCATTTGCTAGGAAAATATACAAGCTGGCAGAAATAATTCTGCTCCAAAAGTCCAATACCTGAAATCAAATACATTGCATAATGAAAGCCAATATATTTAATACATGCAATTTAGTGTGTCTTTGAAGTGCCAGGTACCATTATCTTAAACCACAGATTCACAATTCAAACTTGCTTCACAACAAGTTAAGACATGCACAGTGTACTATCTGAATGCACCTTTAGAGTATCTTATTTAAAATAAACTTGCTTGATGTCATAAGTTAACTGTTCATTAGTTGAAAAGTTCACATACTAGGAATTATATTTTTGCTTCCAGTCAAATTTACTGGCGTTATACAGTTTTGTTCATCTACACATTGTTTTATTACAAATTTCTACCTGAAATCTCTCTGTGTTTTGCCCTTTCCAAACGTTTGCTGTCGAAAATGTCGGCTTTTAGCAATTATTTTCCTTTTCAACATCTTGTTTGCATATATATGTCTTTGCTTCTTCAATAATCAGTATGGCATCTTTTGATGATTGTCATGCTCTTTAGACTGGCATTATATCGCTATCCTGAGCTGGAATTTTGAAAGTTCTCTCATTTTTTCATGAAAAATATCAATCTAGAAACAATTTATTTGGGGGTGCATCTGCATTCCTCCTTGCCCACTCTTGACACTTGAGACACATTTTTATCACAGTTGATATGGGTATACGCGAGCTGAGGCGCCTAGGAATCGAACAGCTACTATGGGAACTTTCGCGGAGAGAGGCGAACTCTACCAAAGAAGAGGAGCTGAACAGCACCAAAGAAGAGCTGAAAAACACCACCACAAAAGATGAGATGGACACCACCAACGAGGAATCGTCCGATGTCGAGGATCTGACCTAGCAGCCTCAAACAAAGCTTGCACTGGGTCTCAGACTTTCAGTTTTTCCCCCTCTGTGATGTACATGAACCGTAGAACATTACAAAAAAAGATGTTTCTTGTTTATGATTTTGAGTTTTTGTTACAACATAGTAGTCGATTGATTCTTTTTTTGGTGTACATAACTTGCATCCCCAACCCAAACAGTGTTGTTGACTTGTTACAGCATCTTGAAAGGATGCATATTAAATCAAATTGTGTACTTTCCATAGGCCTAAACATATATAGCTGCTTGACTTGATGTTTGTTGTGTGTGAGTGACAATCAAGGGAGCCCTTTTGCTGTCCCCATTTCAATCCAGCCGAATTAGCAGTAAACCTAAGTGTCCAGTCCTGTCACTAGTCTCACTTTCGGCTGGAAATTTTAACTTTGATTAGTCTCATTCTTGCCATGCATGTTACTAACATGTTATTGAAATGTGTTTGATTCCTGCTTGATATTTGTTTCTAAAAAATTGGACCAAGATTGTCTCGAGATCTGTACTAGAGCATGTCTCCTTCTGGGGATTTGCTAGAATTTAAAAAACTGTGTTTTGTTTTTCAATGAGGGATTGTTTTTATGTGTTTGGCAGCATCATGTATTGAATGGATCCATAATTATATCAATCTGCTGTTGCTGCAGCAAAGGATGGGGTGGTGGTGATGATTAGCGTGGATGGATCGGGACCACACGATCCCCATCCGATGGCCTCCAGTGCTCTCTGCGGCGGGCACTGATTCACACATGACCAATCCGAGCTGATCAATCGTTTTTGAAACTTTTTTTTGGCTATTTTTTTTCAATTCTTAATTCGGATGAACTTCAAATTGCAGAGATCGAAATCGAACTCGTGAAATCTCTCTTCCACACGGAGTATATATACTTCAGCTGAGCATTGGATCTCGCAATACCATCATGAGGCGCAGGCGCCTTTTTGGCACCGTGTCACTGACAGGTGGGCCCCCACATGAGAGCCTGGGGCCCACGGGCCAGTGGCACGCCTGAAGTTGGGTCGGGCTCTTTTTGTCGTACAGGGAGGGTCACGTGCTGTATGGTAAATGGACTTCCGGTTGATGACGTGGCGGGTACGCGATGATGACTCGCATGGGACAGGGACCACTAGATCTTGATCCAATGGCCATGAGCTCCCCCCTGGAGGCAGCATCAGCAGCCACGGCGGCGTCATTTATCCACTGCGAGGAAAGAGCAAGTTTAATAGTATAGCCGACTGCTGTTTTCAAATTATCTATATATAATCTAATAGTCTATTTATAGAATAGTTGACTATAAAAATATAGTACACCATTAATACCCGAATATGTAGCCCGTTTTCTTCTATCTCTTCTCTTTTCTTCTCGATATGTAGTTATAGCTGGTTTATAGCCTGATATTGTACCTGCTCTAACTCCCAACCTTTTCATGTGCTTTGTGTTTTCCGAACCGCTACATAGTACTTCCTCCGTTTCTAAATATTTAACGCTGTCGTTTCTAAATATTTAACGCCGTTGACTTTTTTAAATATATTTGATTGTTTGTTTTATTTAAAAAAATCTAAGTAATTAGTAATTCTTTTTCTATCATTTGATTTATTGTTAAATATACTTATATGTATACATATAGTTTTACATATTTCACAAAAATTTTAATAAGACGAACGGTCATACATGTGCTAAAAAAATAACGGTGTCAAATATTAGAAACGGAGGGAGTATATTTTTTTATAAAAATTTTCTATATAAAAGTTATTTTAAAAATCATATTAATTTCTTTTTTAAAAAAGATAATACTAAATTAATTATGTGCTAATGAGTAGCTCTAAGTAAGCGAGAGATTAGCTCCTATCTTAGGCCCTCTTTGTTTAGGTTTATAAGCCAACTTATAAGTCGAAAAGTCTAAGTCTAAACAAACAAACAACTTTTCCGTTTGGCTTTTTTGAAGCCATAAGCCACTCTAACACTATTAAGCCAAAAGCTAGGTTGGAGAAGCTTTTTGGCTTATGTGAGGTAGATGTATTACTTAACCACTAAACTTAGTACATTAAATCCACTGGCTTATAAATCATACTTCCTCCATCTACTTTTGATAGTCATATTTTTAAATCTGAAAATTTTATTTTTGATAGGCATATTTCAATCCAACAACCTATCATCTTAATGATTTTCTCGAATTTAATGCATGACTCTCCATTCTTCCACACATGATTGGCTACATGGGCTCTAAGAAATGTAAATATTAATGAATCGCTTGTTTACGAGGAATGACTATACCATGCTTAAATGAATGATAAGTAGAACTACTTATTCTTGATCTGTGTGTCAAGATAAAATATGACTATCAAAAATAGATAGAGGAAGTATAAGCCAATAAACTGACTTAAAAGTCTAGGTCAATAAGCCTAAGCCTAAACAAACAGGGCTTAAGCTGCCGGACACAGCCTAAAGTAGTAATCCCTCGTTCGACGGCTCAGCAAAATCAAAATATTCAAAATTTATCCATGTATTAGCCTTAGGTGGGATGCACGCATGGCTCTTGGGTTTGTATGATGATTTAATGGTACTACATGCATGCAAAGGAGGCTCTGGTTTGCTGGTCATTCATTTTACATGTAAGCTATGATTTGGTTGAATAAAAATGGGATGCCTCTCTTTCTTTAATTTTGCATGCAAGTAACTGAATCGACAAGATTAGCAGGCAGAATTACCTTCGCCTTGGTCTTGCTGCACGGTTGAAATATGGTGATCAAAATTGAATGGAAGGATTAATAGGAATCTTTCATACATGTGTTTTTATCGACTTTAAGACCGGTCCCAATCCAAGACACAACACATAGCTTTCATAAACTCCACATCATCAAAAAAACTAGTGTTAGACACTACTCTTTCAATACAAACACCACTCTTCTATACTTAAATTTAATGTTACTTATCTCACATAATGTCTTGGATATTGTGTAGAAATCATGTCTCATTGTAAGACCTGGTTTTCTTCTCTTTCATCATTTATTTATTTGCCACATCATTTTTTATTATAGGTGGCAGCTTATTTAATGCTATGGACACTATTCTAATCATTGGGTTGGAATGGTAAGGGCTTAAGGTCCTGTTAGTTCTCTTCATCTGGAGAGATATTTTTAGCACACACGAAACGAGAAAACTCATTACCATAGGATTAATTAATTATTAACTACTCCCTCCATTCTAAATTGATCTACATATTTCATAAGTACACCAAGACCAAGAAAAACTAATAACTCTCTCATACTATATTTACTCTAGCAACAAACTCGATGCATGCACCATCCCCACTATTTCCTAGCCAATAGCAAATCAAGATATTGCATGTGGGTTATAAATACTTGTGTGCATGGATGCATGCATCAATGTCCATTTACTCCAATGCACAAATAACGAATAGACTTAATGAATGAACATAAATATGTAGATCATTTAGGAACAACCTTAAAAAACTATATGTAGATCAATTTGGAATGGAGGGAGTATTAAAAATTGGAAAATAGATTTATTTGATTTTTAAACAACTTCTATGTAGAAACTTTTTATAAAAAAAACACACCATTTAACAGTATGAAAACATGTTAACGGAAAACGAGAAAATTAAAGTTTGGAGTTGAGAAAAAGAATTGGGCGTTAAAAACCAATGATAAAAAATAATATACGAAAAAAAAAATCAAAATTAACATTAAGGGTCCGTTTGATTTCTATGTAAAATGTTATAATTTTAAAGGATTCCAATCCTATAAAAGAATTTCCCATGAAAGCTGCTAAAATTTCATGCGATCCAAAGGGGTTGTAAAATTAAATCTTGGCTGCGACCGACAAACGTAGAGAAAACGGAGTTGCTTCCATCTTGACGTCTTGTCGCTGCAGAAGATAAGCAGATTGGAGGTAGGTAGGGTGATGCCAATATGCATATGCTTTGCTTTGGTTGCATGCAGGAAACAGAATGATGGCCTAGACCATGCACACTCACATGCACCCAGCAGCAGCAGCAGCAGTGCTGGATAATTTGGTCCAAAACCTACGGAAAAGTTGCCATGCAGCCGCTAATTCCTCTTTCCACACACACTCTCTGAAGGCATGGTTTTTTTAGCTACTACTCCATTGGATTATTTAATGTATGCTTCCAAAAATATGTTTTCTTAAAAAATATTTAATGTTTAGATCCTTTATTCTAAGCTATTTTTATTAAGTTTATTTATTGAAATATCTAATATATATTCATAACCTATAATAATAGTCTGATCAATAATAATACTCTCTGTCCATTCTAAAATATAACAATCTAACATAATACTATAAATCTAGACGTACAAACAACTATTTAGGTTGTTATTTGAGGTGAGATGGAACAGTATGTTAGCACACACCAAGTCAGTTATACAGTGCACTACATTGGATGCACATAATGTACATACCAGTGTAGTGAGTGCCAAGAGGGCCCACTCAGCACTGGCCTGGTGGGACCCACTTGGGTTAGCATTTTAGCAAACCACAAACAAGAAGAAGATGTGTAAAAATTGAAGAATGGTGGTGGGGGTAAGCTAGGCGCCATAGTTGGTCTGCAAAACAAATCATTACATCCACCCAAGCTTACTAGGTGCGTGCCGATCGACTGCTGCCTACAGTAAGTACATGTGTGGTCACCACAACACCACCTTGGTTTGTTCCTTTTCCTGCAAGGGGTTTGTCAAAGGTTCGGCTACTTCTCCTACTACTACTAGGATCTAGTAGTGCTATAGCTTTTCTTTGGATTAATTTATATTTTTTATGTATCAAAATACTAATAAAAAGATCATCTCCCCTTTCTTTTTTTTTATTTTAGAACTATATATATACAACCATGGCTTATACTGTAATAGGAACATAAACTCTCCACGGTTGTCTTGATCAATGTGTTCTCTATAGATTTTGTTACTTTAGTCTATAATTTATCATTTGCTCTTTACGGCTAGAATAAACGAAGCAATAAAAATAATGTATAGGTAATGCTTTTGCATATCTAAATTTTTAGCGGTTTATAAGCCAATAATAGAAAATAAAGAACAGTTAAAAACTTGAAACAAACTTAAAATTAAGTTTTAAAAATTCAAATTTTAGATACGGCTGATAAGACAACAAGCAGACGATGAGAGGTCTTCGAGCCAAACTACTCAACTATCATAATAAGGGTGTGTTTAGTTCACGTTAAAATTAGAAATTTGGTTGAAATTGGAACGATGTGACAAAAAAGTTGAAAGTTTATGTGT